TGATATGTTACCAGGTTATTCAGTCACTGCAGATGCTTATTCCTTCCTCTGAAAAATGAGGGTATGACTATTTCAGTCCTAATGATCCTCTGGATATTTCATTGATATGTGCAGAGTTCTGAGCACAATGTCTACCACAAAATCAGTGCTATATAAATGGCAGTCATTAGTGAACTCCTTCACTGACAATTCTTTGATAACACTCTTAAAAAGTGAATTCCTTAATGAGTCACATCTGAATTCCTTTTTTAAAAATTAATCCAATTTTATGATACTTAAGCATATTCTGAGAATGAAGAGAGCTGGACAAGTATGACCACATGCCTCTAAGGGAGCATTGTTAAAGGTTAAAGAAAAGATCAAATCAAGTACAGCTAATAGCTAAGCTACAAAGTGATTCAGTGGTGCTACTTTCCAATAACCTCACCTCAGATCAAATAGTCTTTCCACTGAGAATTATCAAGCACCAATTCTATCATGAACAGCCATTAAGAATATTATTAACTTCTATTTACTACATTATGTATGAGACACCATGATCAATGATGTCTATGCATTGTTTTACTTGATTCCACATTCATTTCATGAAATAGAGCTGATCCCTGAGCCCAACTTCTTAATCACTGTGCTTTCTGCTTGTCCACTATTTGGACTGGCATATGTCACAGCTCAATGAAAACAAATATCTGAGAGATCATGGGGGTACCATAGGTAGTAAAGGTAGTACCATAATCCTAAAGATCCATAATATCTTGGATATTTTCTAAGCTAGGATGTCTTGTGGGAATCCCAACTCCATGTTCTCCCAGCCCAACACATCTGACATCCCTACTCAAGTAGAATCAGCTGACTACAAACCCTCCTCGAATATTGGAGGTGGTACTTCTCCCTCTATCCTCAGAGGGCTTTGGCCACCTGGCTTTGTCTTGGGTGTGTTCATGCTACTCCCCTTTGAACTTCCTGGTGTTCTGGGGTGGAATTCATCTCTGAGACACACCATGGCCTTTCTGTCTACCCTTCAATATGTATGTTCCGTCCATCACCCTTACCAAATCCTAAAGATTGTGTTTGCATTTTGCTTCTGTCTTAACTCTTGGACTTTCCTGCAGTTATAATGAAATCTTGTTTATTACCTGAAATTTTCCCTAAACAATACACAGAACATGAAGAGAAGGCAATAGGAGACACGTGGAAAATATTCCTAATGTCATAGAGATTTCTGAAAAGTTTTTTCTATGAAAGTCACTTATCTGTGGTTCCCACTTCATGTTGTGAATTGTGAACTCCATACAGCAAAGTTTCCTTTATTTTAAACTTTGAATAACTCACAAGATCTAGTATCTTGAAGAAATTTATTTGCAAATCTGAGTTTCTAATCTGATCTCCCTCCCTCCCTCCCTCCCTCCCTCCCTCCCTCCCTCCCTCCCTCCCTTCCTTTTGCCTTTCCTCCTTTTCTTTCTTTTAGTAAACTTTGGTTTAAAAGTTGACCATGAGGACAATTTCAGTATTTTGACCCTTGATTTAGTTCAAACATATCTGTAAAAATTTCCGCATTAAATTCTGTATGCAAAGTAGGCTTTCTTGTAAAGCCGCTTAGGGAATAAGCTCAAAGGCTTAGAAAGTAATCGCCCTTTGAATAAAGTTATTTAATCTAAATTGCCATGTGATGGCTTTCTAAAACTCATTTTGTTTGCACAACCCACAAGGAAAGGCCAAAGAATATGTTTTCATTTTAGAATGTTACTTCTAATAGTGAATGCAAAATAAAGCACTTGAAATTATCCATAGTGGCTCCACTTGCAGGCTAATTTTCCTACCATTTTCTATTTCCATAGATTCTTACAGATGAGTTCTATGACCGATAAGAATTTATTCTTCCTGCAGATTGAGATTTTAGTATGGTTTGCAACAAATACATTTCCCAGGGGCTCTCTGATCCACACATTAATGATATTCTAGTGTTTCTCAAAAACAGAAAACTTAGGATTTGTCCCTCAGTAACTTTTGTGTCTATCATCTCATTAGAGAATTAAGAAATACATGACAAAAGTAATAAAGTTATCACTCTAATATATTTAATTTTAAAAATATCAAAATTTTCTTTTCAAGCTGAAAACACACTATGAAGTTAATATAATTATGAATAAATATACTAGAATATTAAATAAAATTTAGAAGGTTTAATATACTAGTTGGCAAAGGTACCAACCCATACTTAGTCAGTAGAGAATGGGTAAAATGGCAATATGTGATCCATGGAGTCCCCTGTCCTCCCTCTTCCCACCACCCAGCCTTCCCCCCTAACCTACCCTCCCCTCCATTCCCACTTCCTCCAAGGCAAGGTTTCCCCTGGGGAGTCATTCTAGCCTGGTAGATTCAGTTGAGGCAGGTCCAGTCCCCTCCTCCCTGCACAAAGTATCTCAGCATAGGCTCTAGGTTCCAAAAAGCCAGCTCATGCACCAAGGACAGATCCTGGTCCTGCTGCCTGGGGGCCTCCCAAACAGTTCAGGCTAATTAACTATCTCACTTATCCAGAGAGCCTGGTCCAGTTCCATGGGGGCTCCTCAGTTATTGGTTCACAGTTCATGTGTTTCTGCTAGTTTAACAATACCTTTTCTAATGCTGCAGGCTAAAATTTAAGTGTTTATTTGAAATTTATATGTTGACAATATTTTTCATGCTTATTAAATTCTCTCATTAACTCTAATAACTAATTTAGATATTCTTTAGGGTTTCATTCTTTATGGAAATAGAATGTTTGTACAAATACCGAACGCTCTATTTACTTTTTTGATTAATTTTCATTTCCTTTTAAAAGTTGTGCTTTCCGTAATATGATACTGTTGACCAGAATCATAAGGGTGGTGAATTTATGTTCCTGGTTTTGAAGGAAATAATTCCAATGTTTTGATTTTAAGTATTTGAAGATTTCTTTACCCTTCTAAAGTACTCCCATGTACATCTTGATTGTTACCAATGTCCATAACTCAAGTTAGATTTATACTAAGTACATTTTTTTCTCTCCAGGATGATCATTTAAATTTTGTTTTCATTCAAAAAAGAAAATTTCTCAATATGATATAAATAATGGTTCTTCCTGAAACCACCTTTGCATTCTGAGGCTAATTCTTCTTTCTTATCATTTATTGTACAGATTTGATTTGTTTAGTATTTTGTTCAGGAAATTTGCATATAGACTCTTGAGAAAAATTGGCCTTTATATTTGTTTCCCATGTTTGTTCTCAGTGTTTCCTTTTTCCAGCCTTTCATTTTATCCAACATTTTATGAAAAAAAATCATATAAATCCAAAGAGAATTGTATGATTAATTCCCATATCTGTTACTAAGAGAAGGCAAAGATCTTTTTATTGCCTACCTTGTTCCATTCAACCACAACTATTTTGTCAGTAATGCAGCAGACTATGTTGATGTAAGTTCTAAAAATAATATTTCATTTGTAAGTATTGTATTAAGTTTAAATGGTAAAATCATCTCATAATATAATATCAATATCCTGGTTGACATGTAAAATCATAGCCCCTTAACTTTATCAAACCTCACATTTCATCCATAATCTCATAATTACTGTGATTTTTCCATATTAGAATCTAAATGTATTTTACATATTGGACTTCCCATATATTTCTCTCAGATGTTAAGTATTGTGTTATTTTATTTTATTAATTCATTGTTTGAATTCAAACTTTCTGGATTTTTTTTCTGGTTGCATTTGTTTTGATGTAACATAAAATCTTTTCCCATCATCTAATTTTCTGGAAATTGGTAGATAATAACAACAACTTCTCAAACCATTTTCCTCTTGGGGAATCTTTAAACACCAAATTATCATCAAAACACCAATATTATTCACCTATCAGTGGTATTTATAGCACTAGACATTAAAGTAGGCTATAAAAATATTTACCAATTGTATTTGAACATTTTTAAAGCATTTCTTAAAATGCCCATATATTTTGAAAATCATATATATGTCATGTCATTTGCCAAGGAAAGCTAAGGAAGCCAACTTGCTTTTCCTCAGGACAACCATTGATCCTCAGGGAGAAGACTTCCACATACATTCAGAGTGTTTAAAAGTATGTGTTTAAGGGATGAGGTTTATTAATATTAATTATCATCATTGTTTGATGTAGTTCAAAGTCATTCTAATGTGAAATGTTATCTACATTTTGCCTGTGCTTGCATAGGTGATGGACACAAGTTGATGACCCTGGCTGAATTAATACCAAAAGCACACACCATTTATCCACCGTTTTCTTGACCTTCCCACAAAGAGGCAACAGGAGAGCAAGTTCATTCAGCCACTGTTCCTTGATACCTCAGCTAAAATATTGACTCAAAAGATTATTATCACGCTTCCTACAAATCTTGCTACAAAGTTCAGACTTTTTTCTCCTTTCCTTAAAATTTTCCCTTCTGCTTTCAATTAAATTATTGAAAAATTTTGAAAATTAAAAAATAATTATCCTCATCATCAATAGTTACAATTCCCAACTAATCAAAAATTTAATTACTAGCATATTTTAAATCCTACAAAACAAAGTACCAAGATTATACATGTGAATATATGTATAAGAAGTATAACTTCTTTCTCGTGTAACCAAAGTACACTGCTAATATTTGTTTTCTTCAGTAAACTCAAGGTTGCAATATTTTGAAACTGGTGTTACAGCATAATCCATAACACAGTTATCATTTTCTTAAGTTTCCCAGCACTAAGTATCTGGGAAGAGGTGGGGAAAGTTCAAACTGCACCCACACCTGACAACAGAGCAGGGCTGGTGACAGGAAAGAGCTACATATGTAGCAATTCACAGTCTTTGCCAGGAAGAAACTTGCGATTTTGATGGGAACCTCCTAGGGTCCATGCCAAGCACCACCTACCTCCCTAACTTGCATAAGCATTCCAGTTATTCCCTTTGATGCCCCTCCCTCAAATTCTGTTATAAAAGCAGAATCATCTCTGTCCCAAGATACTACCCCAGATCTCTGCAAGACAGGTAAGTGAGAGCTGAAAGATGAGGAGAGTCTTGCAGGGGTTCACCTCTCATACCACAGAAGATATGGGAGAGTCCCTGCCCTCACAGAACAGAGAGATCTGGGAATCGGCAACAGTTTCCTGGGGAGTTTTCAAGAGAAGGGGAAAGATGGATTTTTTTTTTTGTTTCAGAACCAAAGAAGGAGAATATTAGTGTGTGTATCTCTACAGTTAGCCAAACGAGAAGGGATGCAACGGTTCTCTCAACATGTCCTCTCTTACCATATTTTCCACCATGACTCTGGTTGTTCCTTCTTCACAGACAAGATGCTGCCTCGTATGATCCTCATCAGCCTGTCCTGGATGCTGCTCTCCTGCCTGATGCTCTTATCTCAGGCGCAAAGTAAGGTTTTCCTGCCTCTAGAACTGAATTCCCTGTTATCCAGAGCCCCTTGGCTCTGAAGAGTCACATGGTGATAATGATGAAGAGAGTCCCACACAGAAACACTGCCTGCAACTCATCCATCATCCTGTTTTCCTCTAAGGCACTAATGACATATAGTGAAACAACAGCCCATTACTGATATTAAAGAGGTTCCTATTTTGCTAGGAACTTCTACTTGGTGAGCTGAAGAGGGAAAGTGTGGCAGTCAGTAATGAACTGTTGAGAAAGAAAAGGAGTGGATGGGCCAGTGCAAGACTTAGCATGGAATTGGGGATCTATGGATAGTAGGAGAAGAGTAAATCCTAAAATTAAAAGAAGACCGTTTATCATAAAGTATGTCAATTTCAAGGCCAAGAAGAGAAATAAAAGGTGACAGAGTCTGTATTGTGGACTTAATCTCAAATACAGGCTTTACAGCATTCGCTAAGTTGATCTTACCATCTAACCCACACTCTTCATTTCACTACACCCCTGTCTTTATCTCCTTCTTCCACCCCAGGTGAAGATGTCAAGGAAGATGTGCCCTCTTCACGAATCAGCTGCCCCAAAGGCTCCAGAGCCTATGGCTCCTATTGCTATGCCTTGTTTCGGATTCCTAAATCCTGGTTTGATGCAGATGTGAGTGCTAGAAGTTGCAGAAGAGGGAAACAGTGGGAAGTGTGTGCCAGTCACAGAAGAAGTGGGCTCTACTTCCCATGGTTCCTTGAGGATCAGATTGAATGCTCTGTCTTTAGTAGCCTCTATCGTCTACATTTGCCCACCATTTACCAATGAGATCTGAGTCTGACTCATTCTGCCCTTTTTTACCTAGCTCGCCTGCCAGAAGAGACCCGCAGGACACCTTGTGTCTGTGCTCAGTGGATCTGAGGCTTCCTTTGTGTCTTCCATGGTTAGAAGCAGTGTGAACAATGCCCAATATGTGTGGATTGGGCTCCATGATCCTACACTGGTGAGATACCACCTCCTCTCATCTATCACTCATAGATTTTGTTCCCTGGTTCATTCTCTGTGTTCATATGAGAAAGTCCCAATCATATGCAGAGCTCACATTTTAGATTGCATCTGGGGTAAAGGGAAATCCTTGAGCTCTGGTGAGGTCCTAGTCTTCAGATGACATTCAAGTGGCTGACCACTGTCGGCTTTTACAAAGTTCCTAAATGAGGCTTTGGAAATCTCTTCTGTGAGATTCAGGGTGTTTGCACCTATGATTCTGAGAGAACCTCAAAAGAGGAGGATATCCATAGTTGTTCTTCAGAGAATCGATGTGGGCCATGAGGTTCAGAGAAATTTACAAAAGCACAACTTGCTATGTTTACTAAGGGCCATGTTATTTTTTCCTGGGTTCAAATAGATTGTATCAGCAGAGATCTGATAATAGGAGAGAGATGCTCAGGTTGAATTCTGGGTAGCGCCTGAAAGACTAGATCAATTCCATGAAGCTGGGCATAGCTATCAGCTACTCCTGGGAAGGGATCATGTAAGCAGAGCTGCAGTTGCCACTCTTTTACCATTGCTGCCTCTTCTCTAGGGCCAAGAACCCAATGGAGGTGGATGGGAGTGGAGCAATGCTGATGTGATGAATTTCTTCAACTGGGAGATGTCTCCTTCCAGTTCTTCAGGTGGTTATTGTGGCAGCCTGTCACGAAACTCAGGTAAGAAAGAGGGTGGTCCTCTTTGAAAACCAGTGTTTTCCCACACTTCTTCTATTCTCAATCTCTTGTCTCCTTTCACGCCTCCTTCCTTTGTATCTTCTCCCTGGAGTAAATCACTAGGAAGATGACAGAAAGACCCTGACATCCAGACCCATATCCTTGATGCCCCTTTGTTGAGTTTATGAAATGTCCCAGCCCCTTTTATTTTGCTTCTTCTGTGTCTGCAGGATATCTGAAGTGGAAAAATTATTATTGTGATTCAGAGTTACCATATGTCTGCAAGTTCAAAGCCTAGAGAACTGAGTTAGCACCCCAAGTTTAGTATGCACCTCACCGTGATCAAGAACCCAAGTGTGAAGTTGGACGCAAGAAGGAAACATCCCTGCACTGCAAACTTGACCTCTAGTGATTTCTCCTCTTCTGCTCTTGCCTTGCTTTCATTTAAGGCTCTTCTGTGTGTACTCGGGCCTGGGTTCTCAGAGTGTAATAATAAAATACATAACTCATACCTATGTCCTTTGTGCTCTCTTCATTTAGTAAAGGAAGAAAATATATCAGTTAAAGAAAAGAGATGAGCAGAGTTAAATTTTTGAAAATGACCCAGTTATGCTGGGAAGGGAGAGACATTTTCTGTAGTAGTTAACCACAAGTGTTTTCATGCTCCTATAAGCTATCCTTCATGCCTCTGTAAAGACTCTTAACTAAACCTATAAGACCTCTCTCTCTCTCTCTCTCTCTCTCTCTCTCTCTCTCTCTCTCTCTGTGTGTCTCTCTCTCTCTCTCTCTCTCTCACACACACACACACTAAAGACAAAAGCATGAAATTAAAAGGGGGTAAATAGGAATAAGGAAGGAGATCAATGATAGTGGGAAGGAGATGAGAAATGGGGGCTGCATACAAAGTACATGGCATACATATGTGAAAGTGTCATAATGATGTACAAATAACACAGGCAAATAAAAGCCACAAAACTAAAGAATATATGTGTGTATACATCTATATCAGTTTAAATGCAAACACATCTGTGAAAAATAAAAGGCTGAAGAAAGACAAGCAATAGTATTATTAGAAAAATACTGGAATAAGTATATTAACTTTAGTCAAGTCCAATTTCAGAAAACAAAACATTATCAAGATTCAAAAGAACCATTTGAAAACCTTAAAAGTGCTCAGTTCTTTAAGAGCACGTGCCTGAGAACAAGACTGCGAATCTGTGAGGCAATGACTTTCAGAAACACAGTGGAAATAGACAAAACCACTTCAGATATTTGACCTATGGCAAGGCTGCTTCTGCTATATGCACTGAATGCTGCTAACATAATAATTCAAAATGATCTGGCTTTATCTAGCCTATCCATACGTCAGGAACCTATAAGTTGCTTACCATATAGATTACTAACCTTAGATTATCAAGACAGGGCAAGCTTTGAAGTAAGTATTTTTTACTGTTGTCATGGTGTTTCTTGGCACTGCTAGGCATTCTTAGAGTATCATAGATTATTACTAGCTCAGGAAAATATTCCAGTAGTATTCACTATTGAATACATACGGTTTTGAATCTTTATAAAGTCCAAAAACCTTAAGCTTAACCATTTTTAAGTTAGGGAGAACCTCAAGATTTTAATACTTTTTTCTTTTAGTAATTGATAGGTAAGCAGGCAAAACATATGGAAATAAATAATTGACTTGACCAGTACAATCAGTCAAATTAATCTGCTTGACCTTCAGAAAATACCTCAGGCAGGTCTGGTGTGATGGCACATACCTGTAATCCCAGCAATCAGGAGGCTAAGACAGGAGGGTTACTGTGAGTTCAAAGCTTACCTCAGATATGTAGAGAATTATAAAGCAACCATAGCTACAATGTAAGATGCAGTAAGAAAGACAGAATACTTTGTCCTGTTGTATAATACACATTTTCTCAAGTTCAGATGGAATAGTTACCAAGATAAATATAAAAGAGGATAAATGATACAAAATATTTTATCAGATGTCAGCGGAATTAAAATTCAAGCCAAAACCAGAAACACATTAGAGCAATGCCAAAATTTTGGAGATGCAGCTAGACACTTCCAAATGATACATGGAAAAGAGAAGCCACAAAAGAGCTTGAAATCATTTGAACAAAAAATAAAGAATACATTAAAGTATAAAATGTACTTTTAACCCAATGTTAAGGGGAAACTGATAACACTGGATGAAAGCATTGGAAAAGAGCAAAGATCTAAATCCTATAATCCAATGGTTCTCAACATTCCTAATACTGCAACCCTTTAATTCAGTTCCTCATGTTGTGGGGGCCATAAAACTCTGTTCATTGCTACTTTATAACTACAGTTGTCACAATTATTAATCATAATGTAAATAACCATGTTTTCTGATGGTCTTAGTGAACCCTTTGAAAGGGACATTCGATCCCCAAAGCAGTCACGACCCACAGGTTAAGAAGCATTTTGAGGATAATCCAAGCTAACTCCTGAGGAAATACAAGAAACAAGGCAATGTGTAAGATAAGCAGAAGAGAAATGGTAAGGTTAAAATTCACTGAGGTTGAAAACGTGAAACCAAGGGGAAAATATTAACAAAAGAGAAATAATAATCATTTTCAAACATCTATAGAATTTATGAATCTCCATCCATCCAACCAAATAAAAAGCCACATGTGAGTAATGTTACAAGTGAAACATATATTGCTATGAAAAATATGTATTTTATGAAAGTGAAAGGAATGAATAAGGTTTTGCCAGTCATTGGGCATGAGTCATCTTTTGTATACAACTGATACCCTAACTTGAGATACATGCTCTACTTATAGACCAAACAGGGAATATAGTTTTAATAATAGTTTAAAACACTGCTTTATAAAGTGTGGGCTTTAACTTAGTGGTGATTGAAACCTTTAAGTCAATTCCGTGAATAATAGCTACTATAACTGTCTAAATAAAGAGGTTAGAATATAAAATGCCACATTATATTGAGTAAAGATGAAGAAATATTATTTATAAAATTTTTATTATAATCATTTGTGCACACATGGATAGTACAAATATATAATTATAAACCTTGCTGTAGAGGCTTTTTGTGATTTCTGTTTTTCTATGCTGGGAACTGAACTCAGGGCCTTATGAATATTAGACAACAACTCCTCCTCTGAGCTATAGCATTCCCAGGCAAAAAGAAAACAAAAATCTTATTTTAAATAGCAGTTAAACGTTTGAATGCCACTCAAAGTAACACAGAAACTTTGAGGTAACTACAGATGAATTAAATAAACTACCAGTAGAGGGAGAGTTAGGCCAACACACAGTGTAGTTCCAGGGACAAAAAGAAACCGAGTTTGCTGTTTGCAAGCAAAGAAGGATTTAGAGAATAGATATTAGGAAATCAAATATGTTTAATCTGTTTCTATTCCCTCTGAGATTGAGTTGTAGTTCATCTCCCAGGACTGAGTTGAAAACCTTGAAAATGAAAGTACACATAATGTAAGTAACAGGGCTCCAAACTGTGAGCCCAAAGCTAACCAGGAATGCGTTGCAGAAAGCAATTTGAAAGAATAACTGAAAACCGAGAATGTAAAGGTTCTTTACACCTACCAAGTCATTTCCTGGAGAATCTGCCCCCCACCTTGCTCCTAAGAAAGAGATGGGTACTGCTCATAAGTTCCATGAGATGATGCTATCATAGATTCTGCCATGAAAGCATAAAAGTGAAGTCATTAGAGCCTGTTTCTTAGCCTTTGGGAACCTTGTGCCCGGGCTATGACTCTAATATGTTGATGGAATGCTGAATGCAGGAAGAGGCACAAAGATTCTCAATGAAGCTTGGGGAGAGTTCTCTCAGTGGAAACAATCAAATTTCAGTGATTGTTGCTTATATGTAACTTCATATTCACATATTGCTCTAAGTGTGTGAGCTTGCTCATAATTTTAGCTGCCAAACTTTCCTCAGTTTTCTTGTTGTCTACTGTTTGACTGTAGGCTTCCAAGGAATCTTTGAAGCACTATGAAGAGCCTGTGGGTTTTTCTTGTTTGGGTTTTGTAGCTGTTTCAAGGTCAGGCTTGGTTGGTTTGTTCTAACCAAGAAAACGTGGCAAAAGTGAGAGCATACCCTGTCTATGACTAGGTCACGAGACTGCCAATACTGGTCACTTTGACTCTCTTCTGTCTAGTAAAAGATGGTATCCACTTGAGGATCAGCACTCGAGGCTGTCTTCTGGCCTCCACAAGTATAAACTAGGCACAACCCTCTCATGAATATGCATGCACTCACACACCCACACCTGCTGTGTCAGTGCATTTGGGATTGGACATATTATATTCAGCCCTCTGAGAAAACTGAAGCCCATAATAGCACCTTGAGCACAGCCCCATAGATAATCCTGGTACTGAAGCTCAACAAATCTATGCTCATTGTGAGAATAAGTGTTTGTCTCTATGAAGAAAAATAAGTACAGTAGTTTCCTAGTATGATATAGGGGAAATAATTGTCTTTTGAAGGAAATAGTTCATTTTGGAGGAAAAGCACATGACTGGTGTGTTAGCTATCCAGTCAATGCAGTAAGACCGTTTTTTACCTTGACTTAAACTGTGTGGAATTGGAATCTACTGTTCTACTTGGAGTGTAAACTAATTACATATTGTAGTAAAGAATAGCTTCTGGAATTTGTTTTGGGGTTTGATGCAGAGATTTACCTGTCTACAGATGGTTGGTTTTGACTATGGCATGTATATTTATTATTTATTGTTTACACATAAAGGTGTCCTATTTGGTTTGGGGTGATGGTAGTGGTGGTGTGTGTGTGCAAGAGAGAAGAGTATTTTTTTTAAGATTTTATTTATTATGTATACAATGTTCTGCCTGTATGTATGTCTGCACACCAGAAGAGGACACCATATCTCATTCTAGATGGTTGTGAGCCACCAGGTGGTTGTTGGGAATTGAACTCAGGACCTCTGGAAGAACAGCCAGTGCTCTTAACCTCTGAGACATCTCTCCAGCCTGAGAGAAAAATACTTATTTAAGATGCTTGCTCAAAAATTTAAAAAAAAAAAAGATGGTTGTTTATTGGAGAAATTATTTTGGCCACTCCATGTAGTTTAAAGGATATTTATTTAATGGCATAACTCACAAATTAAGTAATGGGTAGGTCGCAGGGTCTGGGGAAGTTGTAACACAGTCCAGCGGTGTTCTCCGGAGCTCTGCACAATCCACCTTCACCGTTCAGCGTCCGGGCACCAAGAGGGCGCACAGAGAGAGTGCTGGCCCATCCAGCTCTCAGGTCCCCAGGCGCCTCCCCTCGCCCCGCCTTGTAGGCGTGACAGTTGCCAGAGTCTCAATGGGGGTTGGAACTTCCAAATCCAAGCTGGAATGGCTACCCACTACAGTTGTTCTAAAATATTAAAAGCTGTTCTTCACTTTAAGCTAGATGTGAACAGAAACTGTCCTGGATCCAGACAAGTAGAGTTCAAGTCAGGAAAAGGCTATCCCTGCACTGGCTGTTTAAGAAC